ATAGATAGATAGATAGATAGATAGATAGATAGATAGATAGATAGATACCATCTGAAAGCTTATGAGACCTTTAGTGGCTGAGAGAAGAACTGCTGGCAATGAGGGACATCTAGTGGTTAATCACAAGATGTACACGTGTCATTTGCCAGGGTGCTCCTGTTGCTAGATTCAATGTCCCAAATGGGTTCACTCTGCACAGGCCGCCAGGCCAACACAAGACCAGTCCTTCCTCCTCATTTTTTTGTGATTACTTGAGCACAATTGTTTTAAAATGTGTCCAGTTTTGAAAAAAAAATCAAAATTGGCACATATCTTATTTGATTTTTAGATTCAGTTATTTATACGTATACGTTGCACCTTCAGGGGTATATTTCTGTGTTCTTCCTTTACCCACCAATCCATTTTGAATTTCTGATTCTAAGACTGGTGCCTGAACGCCACTGCAAACTCTGCGAACACCTTTTTTATCCAAAAGTATTCATTACTGTATCGACTAAAGCCACCATAAACAAACCTCATTGGATGTTGTATCATATCGTGTCCATTTTGTTTGTCTGCTGTGACAACGTTGTGTAATTGTTCTAAAATATAAGAGTAAGTACAAAAAGGTAAGGACCTGCCCTTAGAGCATCATTCGGAATAATGGAACACCTCAATTTAATATGATCTCCACTTTGATCCCGTGTATCAGTCGTGCAGTTAACACCAGTGGTTGAATTATTTCTAATTAAACGGAGCTTGTTGTGCTCTCCTCGTTTTGCCTGAGTCCAGTGTCTGTGTTGGGGTCAGACTGCCTCCAGGGAGCGCCCACGTCCAGCCTTCAGCCCTTCTCCCCTCACCTGTCTGAGCCCATCCCAACAAACACAGCTGTAACATGCCTCAGGATTAAAGTATACGCATCTTAACTGAAAGACTTAAACATCCATGAACGCAAAATGTTCTAAGTCTTAGTCTGGATATGATGAACATGCTTCTTAGAGAGTGATTTTCGGACTAAACGCACATGGTTTGCAGGAGAGGTTTTTTGTTTTGTTTTGGGTTTTTTATAGTCAAAGTACAACTAACGAAACAACATATTTATCAACTAATTTCCCTTTTAAAAAAAAACTTTAAAGATTTTTTTAAAATCATGTCCAGCCTTGTCAACTACTTTTTTCCTGGACATTCTCAGTAAAGAGTTAAGGGTTAAAAAGAGCCGCTCACACCTCCCTCCACAGGTCTCCTCCCCTCCGGTGAACCAGCCACCTACAAGTTTGACAGCTCAGCCCTTTAGTGCCGATCAGCGGTGGCAGCAACAGATAGCTGGATTTTCCACCCAAAGACCACATTTTCCTGCTTTTCCTCTCCCGGTTTCTGCTGCTTTTGCGCAGAGATGTGTGCCGTCTCCCGCTGGCTATGAGGGATCTGATGCGTCCGTAGGCTTGGCCACTTCGCCCATCTGGATCCATTTTTTGGTTCGCGATAGCGTGGTTTCTATATAATTTATTTAAAAACTTGTGATTGAACTCCCCCCCCCCCCCCTCCCCAGTGTTAGTCGGGCGTCCCAGGGAAGCTGAAACATGTCGCGCAGCGCGGAGGAGGTGAACAAGATAACAGAGAGTACATACAAGGTGGGTTCTGGATTGGGAAAGGGAGCTGGGAACACAACAGGTGCGACCACCACGGAAGAGAAATACCTCCATGTGTTCTTTTTGTGCGACTCTAGAACTCCACAAGCCGATCTTGTTTTGCTTTTAATTAGTCGCTTTACTTTTAATTTAAGCAGAGAAGTGCTTATCTTATAGAAGAAGATAACCCTGGACAAGCAAAAAACTGCTCTCTCTTCTCTTTTTGTCTGGCAACATGTATGGGAAGTAGACTATAATGTTTGTTGCTTTAAATTTAGCTATTTATTTAAGCAGTCCAGAGGTTCATGCTTTGGGAGGACACACCAGCTAAATGATTAGCCAGGTTTTGGTTTTCGGTTGAGTTGGTTTTAGTATTTTTCCATCAGGTTTTACTGATCAACTGCTGCTCAAACCAAAAGGTGACTGAAGAGAAAAGTTGAATCTCTGGTTTAAAAGAAAAACACACCCTAGGTGTGTCATTTCCTCATTAATGTGCTGCCTTAGTGTATCAGCATCATCTCAGCTGTCCTAAAAATATGTGTCACCTAGAAACTTAGGCAACAAGGCCTTTTTAAAAAAGAATTTGTCCCCCCCCCAAATAGCTGTATTAATCATTAGTTTCAGTGGGAGGCAAAAGAAATCAAATCAGAATTAGAAATATTAGGCCAAATATTGAGCCACCAGTTTCACCAAATCTTTAAAGTTGCCTCATCTCTCACTCACTAGGTGGAACAGTGAGGGGGGTGGGGGGGCTTTCTTACAAACATTTATCCCTCTTGAGCAGCTTTTATCTGCGGGCCTCCTCGTGGGGCAGCCCCCGCCGCTCTTTGGAGTGGTGAAATGCCGGCAAAAAGACTCCAGGTTTAATAATTTAGCTGCCTTTGTGTTTTGTGTGGTAAGATTATACAGCCAGCTCCTCGCCGCCTCACCTCTTGCTCACTGCTGTAGCACGGAGCTCCTGTTTTTTGGCCGCCCTGCTTTGCAGAGAAAACACTTGGAAGATTTACACATTCCATAAACCGTGACAGCTTGACAGAATCACAACTTCTGCTTGTCTTGTTTGATTCATGTACGCTTAAACATAACTGAAACGTTCGCAATGAGTACATAATTTGGGTATCAATCATCTTAAACACTACTTGCTGACAAACCAGAAGTGGGAGATCATTATGCTTATAAATCCAACTTTAAAGCAACGTGAAAAGCAGATGCAGAGGTGTGTTGGTTGAGGTGGAAGTTGTGTTGAGGAGGAGTCAGCCAGTGATGTGTTTGTGAAAGTAAAGCATGTGGTGCAAACCTAGCAGTGGGCTACAGACGCAGGCGGGGGGCCCAGGGCCGATCCTGCACCCCCTCAGAGCAGCAAAAAAATAATGGAGTGTAATTATATTATATACAGGGTTTTACCAGAGTTCAAACAGGTTCTTCTCCCAAATAGGGAGGAATAGGTACGTTTCAAAACAATTGGTCAGAATTAGCACGGTTAATTACATTACGGTAGCAGACAAAATCCTCTCAGGACACCACAGATGGAGGAAGGCTATTTAATGATACCCCAGTCAAACTAATTCTAGTCCAGTTTATTCTGGTCCATTTCACTCAAGTTCAATGCAGCATGATAGTGCAGAAAGGGCTTTAGTGTAAGTAGCCCAAATAAAGAATCCAGTGGTTTGCATTGAATCTGTGGGAGGTAGACAGGAGTGGCTAGGAAGAACAACATTTATTAAGGAGAGATTTCTAGTTAAACAAGAGACATGGAGCTTGGCCATCCGCCTCAAGTGTAAATAAGGTGTCAAAAACTGTAACATATGAAAGTGAATACACGTCACAAGCAGTCCATTAAGGTGACTGGAGGAGGATCATTGAATAGCAACAACAAAGCCCAAACAGCCTACAACATGAGCTGGGTTTGTCCAAAGTCAACAGGTCTCTTAACTTCTGTTATATGTTTTGTTTTTTCACTGGTCAATGTTGGTTGCTTACAGCATCTCCCTCTTTTCTCTCCAACCACGCAGAATGTGATGGAACAGTTCAACCCGGGTCTAAGGAACCTGGTCAACTTGGGGAAGAGCTATGAGAAGTCAGTTGCTGGTGAGCTTCTTTACCTCGTGGATAAAACAGACCAGTGTCAGGGCTGGGGTAGTTTATAGAAGCTAAATTGTAGAGTAATATGTTGGTTTGAAAAAGGCATAAGGGTTTCATGACCACTTTGTCATCTTCCCAGCAATGACCATGGCAGGAAAATTGTATTTTGATGCACTGTCTAAGATTGGGGAGAACGCTGCGGTGTCTCCGGTCTCCAGAGAACTAGGTAAGTGTCCGCATATCTGTCCTCTTGCTCTCTGCTAAGATACAGGAGGAAGACTTCAGTCAGTGTTGTCAGATGCCACAGACGCAGCAAAATTAGATTCAAGTTTTATTTCCTTTCATGATAAGATCTTTTTGGATAATGGGAAGAAGTCTGTGGCTTCAGAGAGGGTTGTAACGATGAACAGATGACTTCTGCTGTATGCATCTATAGCCCTCCTCTGTAAATGCTAATTAACATGCTATGCAGTGGTAGTTATGAAAACTGGGGAAAAACTCAGTCCATCTCTGGTTTTTAAACACAAACGTCTGTGTACATCCACAAATGGAAAATGCAGCAAAAGCTTTTCTCTCAGGGATTATTTTTAATCTTTTGAAATATCTGGCGAGATGCCAGTTAGAATACCCACTTAAACCGAAAACAGCCATTCTCCGTTTCACATCTTGTTAATGCCAACCAAAACTTGCCAGTGAGATAGACTTGTAAACAGACGGCTACAACAGTGTAACACAAGTGTTTGCTTTTGGTCAGTGCTCCAGTTTTGTGTTAGTCTTATTTCTTCAAGATAAGCAAAACAAATGCCGATATGTAGCCACCTACATCCTACAGCCTACAGGCATGCTCGGTCTGAAAGAATACCCAGCAAGTGTAAAATGAAAAAGTATGAAGCAAATCACAAACAGTTGTCATTTTGTTTTTTATGAGGAAAGCTTATTGGGTGTGTCTATTTATTTTTCTTCAAAATTACAGCCCAAGATAAGTTTGGTTAGCCATACCCATTAAAAAATGGACCAGAAGGTGTGTCTAAACTTTGAATGTAATCGTAGAAACAAAGGTTTGGCTGCACGGCTAAAACTTATCAGAAGTTGTACTTGGCTTAATTCCACAGGATTTGTTTCTGATCAAGAGCAATGGGCCTGGGAATACGCTCCGAGTTTGTTTGGTACCCTGTTTTTGTTCCAGGCCAATTCCCCAGGCTTGAGTTCCCATAAGCTAATTTGTCTGGTTTTCTAACTAACTGTCACAAGAGGCGCACTTTGCTTTAACCACTGTATGCCTTCTGTCTTCCCCAGTGATGAGAAGCAAAACTGCTAATTAAATTCAGCAGCACGATGCAATGATCCTCTTGGTGCTGTCCTGATGTCGCTAAAACGAAGTCTGTTATTTATTTAATAAGTCAAATTTAATCAGCTTTTTATAGTCAAATGCAAACTTAAATCCATTTTTCTGTTCCCAGAATTAGCTTGTTTTGTATTCCAGATGAGAGTTTTTTCTGTATATTCAGTGTTCCATTATCAGCTATAATTAATAATATTGCCTTGTGCTGTTGGAAGATGTGATTAATCAGGAAATGAATTTAGTTTCTTAGGAGATTAGTTTATAATGAAAGCATTTAGTTTCAGCCTTACAAGAGTTTTTTAATTTGGCTATAAAATATGTGATGTGTGAAGAGGACCCAATCTGTTTTTCTGCACATACTGGGATATCATATCAGAGTACTGAGGATTAAGGCAGGCTTGCCTTCTCATTAAATGTTTACAGCAGTCCCAGATGGATTTTAAGTAGGATAGCCCCTTCAGTTGGCAAAGATTTAAATGTCATCATTCTAAACTTTTTCTATATTTCACACTGAGAACTTAAAGCGTTTCCTAGATAAATGACTAGATAAATGACTAGATAAATGGCTGCTAACAAACCAGCAGCTGCCTGTCAGAGTCTGCAGCTAGAGGAAAAAAGGTTCCCGTGTCTGTTTTTCTGAGCTCACTAAGAATGGAGGGCTAAATAAAAAGGAATAGATAATGTCAAAGATCATGGATCTGACTGCATTTCCTGGTTATTTGTTTGCCAAAATTAGCAACATTACCTGGTCCCTTCACTCTGCTCCAGGCTGTTGTTTTGAACTTATTTGTGTGGAAAACACATAGTCAAATTGGTAAAAGAAGATTTTCACCTGCATTTTATGCTGACGGCTGCTGATTCAGAGGTTGTAATCTGATCTGAAAATCATGTCATCATGCTTTAAGTACAGCTCAAAATGGGTTTCCTGTTGTCCCTCATTTCCTCGCCCGAAATGGAGAGGAAATGAGGGGAGGAGCACAAACTGCTCATTAAAATCCCTGCTGACCGAAGAAAAATAAATAAGAACAAGAAAGTACATATTTTAAAAATAATTTCTTCCTTATTTATCGCCTGCTTCATGATTCAAACTTATCTTCTTCAAGATAAAAGCTAACTTTTCCTTTGGATAACCTTAAAACGCTGATGGCGTTTGTGTGGGGTGGAGTTAGGTCCCGACCGCCACTTTTACCACGGACTGGTGGATGCACTCCAGTACCCACTAATCCTTATAGGAGTGGCACAGAAAGAGATTTTATGGTCTCATGACAGATCAGTTTAGTCTGTCATTATGTTGGATTATTTAGAGCAGGAGGTGATTAAATACACACAGTCTCATTTCATTTAATGAGCCAGGCCTGTCAGCCCAGCTGCACTGTGGCCGGAGTTTGCCATGAACATCTGTACAAGCGGTCAGGATGAGACATCGTCAGAATCCGCACACGTGGTTACATATACAGGACAAGACAGTCTCCATGTCGTCGCTGGAGCTTTTTCTATGGAAGTGGCATAGCTGACCTCTCAGAAACCTGAACTGCTCTGACACATTGCCAGAAACCAGATACTCTTGAGAGGCATTGGAGGACCTGTGCACCTTCTTTTAATTCTTTGATCCGACCTCCTTCTTCACCAGTTTACATGTCCTTTTTCTTCAAGTAGGTAATACTTACAGGAAGAATAATAGTAACAGTATTATTTAAATAGTACGTATATTTTATATAAATTTACATATATACAAATATACATATATACAAATCTGTTGCTCCCAAAATGAGATTCCACAACTGGGAATAACATCTCTTCCGCGAAATAGCAGAGCTGAATCCCTATTTAGATAAACAAGTGTAATGGAGGCTTCATGGACAACAAAACTCGGTGACCAATGCACTAAACGCACTTTACATAATCCACACGTGTTTGCATGATGTGTCAGGTCGCTACTGATGCCAGGATTATTGTGTCCACAGACAAAAACTGTGGAACTCTTTGTGTGCTACCAGCAAAGTGCCATCAGAAACACCCCAAAGGGAGGATAGAGTTTTTTAGTAACTATCAGGCTGTATAAGCATTATTTACCCTCTACTTGTTCTGGTTTAGATACTAATGGCTCATACTGATAAGTATTGTTAAAAGCAAGCTGACTTTCTGCTTTTCACGGACACACAGATAAGTATGTCTCCTCTGAGTACTGTGGATATGTGAATGGAAAACAGAGATGCTCCTCATCTAGTTTGAGAAAACAACATTCAGGACCAGAGGTATCTCACTATATTTGGCCATGAACAAGCGATAGCACCTCACTTTGTATGACATTAACCAAGTTTGTGATCATTAAATGGCTCACTTACGATCACAAACATTAAAACCTGACACCTGATGAAAAAACTCTTATTTTTCTCCTTTTAATTGTGTGCTTTTCGGACTCACGCAGGGCGTATAGAGCTGCTGCTCTCCATGTCCAGCTCTGCGTCCACCCCTGTTCACAGCCTGGGCAAACAGGGCTGCGGGCGGCAGGTCTGTGCTGTGTGGGTTTATCTCGGCGTGGCTTTGTTGGCTAATGGCGGTGGGTTGCTTTTTGGCATTATCCTCATCGTGACGCAGTTTTGCCCTTGCAACTTGCTCGACGCAGCACACCTGTTGCCCGGCAACGCCTCGTGCAGATCGTGACTAACAGTAAACAAATGAGCGGGAACTGCTGGAATGAGCTCTGTTGATGACTGAGGGTTATGAGAGTTGAGCCATTTTTATTCAATAGTAAATTGCGTTCTGTAGCCCTGTCATTGTTAAGCAATGCACAACAGGGGGATGTTTATTACTCAACTTCAGTTTACCATGAAGTGCAAGTGAACCTGTCTTTCCGGTGTTTGACTGAATACCACACCTGACATTTTGAAGAGTGTTCCGATAAGGTCAGGTGTTTTAGACCCCATGGCAGTTAGCTTGGACATGTCTGTGCCTAGTTTCCTCTTAAGCTCTAGCTGTAGTGTTCAGGAGTCTTCAGTAATTCCCCAACGTGTCTTTCTCTCTAGCTGTATACACCCCTCGCCACACAGTGCTTCTCCACCTCACTACACACCTCCTAGTCCCCCCAGACCCCCCTAATCCAGCCTTTGCTCCCTCCTCAGATTCCGTTCCTCTCCTCTTTGAAAGTGCAGATTTACTGAAATGATCTCATGGCTTTTGTCTGCCGGACTGTTTGAACTGTATGACAGACATTCTCACCAAAAGGCAAGGTGGGGCAGGGAGGGTGTGCAAAGACGGAGCGGGGAGGGGCTGTGTTTACATTTGGATGAATGCTCACAGGTCAGAGTGATAAAGCCGTCTGCATCTGGCGTGGATTGTGCTTTCACACACTTGGAAATATGGTGAGATAAAGTAGTGAATGGGTTGTGTCTGAGATTACCAATGCCACAAGCAGGAGTTTTGTTTGTCACACTGTGCAATGGAATATCAGCATTTAAAAACCGTCTCAAGGTTCCCACTCAGAGACTGACGTGTGTGTTACAGCTGGACTTTTTGGCTGCTGCTGCATGGGAAACATGTGCCCTTGGGAAAAACCCAGAGCAGGAAAAAGATGCAACATGCTTTCTCAAGTTGCTGCTCGGACGATATGCACCCTGCATATCTTCACATATATAGCATATACAGCATATATAGCATATACAGCTCGCTGATGATTGGCTGCTAGGCAGCCTTGGTATATTGAAGAAATTCAGTAAAGATTCGGTACCAGAATTCAGTTAAAGAGCTTAAAGTTGCCTGAAATCAGAGCATACATTTTATCTAGAGCTTTGAGCCAAGTCTGTAGCATTTCAGCACAGGCCTGATGTATCATAGCCATGTCAGTAAAATCTGCAAATAGGAGTCACATGGGCCAGCGAATAGTATATATTGTGCTTTTTGGTTTTCCATTATGCTAAATAGATGTTTTGCAACAAAACAAAGTGGCAATTTGTGGCTGCTTTTCATCAGAGCTCTCTTTGATTACGGCAGCAGGAGGTCCAGTTTTTCTGGTTAAGGCACATATGTATACATTTTCTCTTCCATGCCAGCAACGGACAGCTTTTGTAATGGCGGTAGCTGGTGACATATGATGATATTCATGATCAACGTGACTCATTTCACTGCAATATGGTTAAAGTGTTTACTGTGCTTTGTGATCATTGTAGGTGTATTCTATCTTACTTTGTCCGTCAGTATATTTAGATATTTAATAGACATGATCGTAGCATCGTAGCATCGTAGCACAGCGTTGCATTACTGCCAGCCTGTCAGTCTTCTGACATTAACGTCTGCATTTATCTCTCCTTGCTTGTTTTGTCCCTCTGGCAGGTGTCGTGCTGATGGAAGTCTCAGAGGTCCATAAAAAGGTTCAGCTTGAGCTGGAGGAATATGTGAGTGCTACATATGTTTTCCAGACTAACATACATACCCGCTGTAAATCCATATGTCGTGTAATTGCTCTGTAATTGCGCGGCCTCACCCCGACGCATTTTGTCAGACACTCTCACTCTCCAAACCTGTTGCTCAGTATATTTCCACACAGCTGCAAAAACCAAGCCTCTGTTCTCAGAGCATCATCAGACACAGCCGGCCAGCAGGGCTATCTCCCACTCCCACAGATAGACACAACCTCGCCTTCTTTCCCACCTACATCTTGCAAATAGGCTTTGTGAACAAGCACTGGATAAAGGGGGTGGATGATTATGAGAAACAGGTTTGAATAGTGGGAGCACCTGTGACTCTGTTTCCTTTCTGAGAACAAGCAAGTCTCAACATGCTCTGGAACAACCGCATCTGGAGATAATGCAATTACTGTAGATTCATTAGGAAGCTGGGAGCCTCTGGTCGCACATAAACACCTCCCTTGCGCTGCACAAAAAAAGACTATTAGCATTTATCTTTTACTCTCTCTGTGTTGTTTTTTGATCATAAGTTTTTAGAATAAAATTTCAATGGTTTTTTATTGACAAAGCATTAGAGGAATAGTGTTGCCGCATAATGGAGATGCTGAAACAAACATGCAAGTCAATCAAGTCAAATTTCTTTAAAAAGGGTTTAAAATGTTCAAATTCATGTCCAATTGTTGTCGGACTGCTACCTTCTTCCATTCAGAGCCTGTTCAGCCACCTTCACTGTGACTTTTAGAAGACATGAATGGAAAAAGCCTGATTGTTTTCATTTGGTATTGCGTGTGTTTTGTTCTTTGGAAATCCAATAAAACCTGTATGGAAATAGCTTGTTTAAGACGAGCAGAAAAGTTTTGGCACACTCGTCAGAGAGCGTGTTGCTAACAGCACCGGTGGGTGGGTTGTCCTTTAATTGGAGAACAGTTTGTGAGTCACAGCATTGGTTCATTTCTGCAAAAACAATGAAAGGAAACCTCTCATTGACTATTCAGAAATTGGGTTTTTCAAATTGCTGAAGCAGACACTATTTGTAACAAACTAAGAATGAGGGGAACGCTTTGACACCCTCTAAAAACTGAGAGCCAGGGAAAAGACTATGGGCATTCCCACGCTTTGTTTCTGACTCATTCACATGAGCAACCTAGGACTTGCCTGTTACCCCACACACAAAGAGGGACTATTGCCAACTTGTATCTGTGATTTGCTGCATATTCCCTTTTGTTTTTAACATCAAATCTGTCTTTCTTCATCACTTAAGTTTTATGGTGACCAATATCTTCCTTTCTTTGTTTTTGTTTCTCCCCTCTTTAACCTGTCCTGCCTCCTCAACACCTGAAGTTTAAGAGATTCCACAGGGAGATAGTAAACGAGCTGGAAAAGAAGACTGACATGGATGTCAAATACATGACTGTGAGTATTTTCTGTGTATGAATCATAATTGCACCGTTTTCCCTCCTATGACAATGCACACTATTTAACGTCTTTGCTTTCATATTTTGTTGATGCATTGGCTCTGAACCACAATGGGAAAATTCCCCAAATATTGGTGCATGGTGCTAAATGACAGGCTTTCTGCCAACTGTGATCATGAACAGGATGAGCAGCTTTTTATTTACACTGAAAAACACCAGTATAATCCCATGTGTGGCAGTTCAGGGCTATAATTTTCTGCCATTACGACTGCAGGCATGGTAATTAATTTCAAGTGAGTTGTGTCACACAGCCACAGAACACAAAAGGCAAAGAAGGCCCCGTTTTCAGTGTTTGATGATGTTTCTCTGGATCAAATCAAATCAAATGTGTTGTAAAAATATTAAAGGGCTATAGTCATAAATAACAAAATAATACAAAGAAAAATGCCCACTACAAACCAGCAAATTTATTCTCCACATCGGGATTTTTTTAAATTATTTTTTTTAAACAAATGTGAGTCTTTCCTCTATTCCAGGCCACATTTAAAAGATACCAGATGGAGCACAAGATGAAGCAAGATTCTCTGGAGAGGTCCCAGTCAGATCTGAAAAAGCTGAGGAGGAAGAGCCAAGGCAAGAACGCCAACAAGTACGAGAACAAGGAAAGCGAGGTGAGACGAACGGCGAAATACCCACAGACGTGTGACACATCATGTGCAGGTGCTCTGCCTTTGAAACGCACACAGCCGCCTTTTATACGCAGACAAATGCACTCATTCATACGCAAACTTTGTCACCTGAGAGGCAGCGCGTCAGAGTCGGTGTGTTACAGTAGTCGGGGGTGAAGTGTGAAGTGTTCGGACTGTGCAGTCATGCAGGAAAAACATTCTTGTTCATTGTTGGGTTCTTTTGTCAGCTCTGTGAATGCGCCAGTATGCTGCCCTCTCTCACATCCTATTAATCGCTTATCGGGTTGCCAAACACATGCGCTGACAAAAACACAAACAAGTAGAGGTGCTAAGATTTCAAACAGACAGCAGTTAGTCATCTGTCTGATTGGCCTGTGGCTTATCTTTATGTAAAGAGTATTACTGATTTATTTTCATCTGCTTCTGCAGGCAGCATGTATTGGGTTCTATTACATAACTAAACATTTTCATAGTTCAGATTTGCCTTTTTTTTCTTTTTTTTAAAAACTAATTTTGACCATTTTTGTTGGTTCCCTCAATTAAATATAATGAATGTTTTAATTCTAAAAAAAAAAAAAAACTATTGTGATTGGAGGTGTTTAATCTGGCGGTTGTTAGTGTTAGATCATCTTGGTAGATGGTAGATGGTAGCTATTACGTGACGCTGCCACGCCCCACGCTGCAGAATGAAAGTTGTGGAGGAGTTTAATCCTGAAGTTGCGTCGCTTAGAGCACGGCTGCCTCGGATCTTACACAACCTGTCTATTCATCCTGTAGGGCAGCTGGTTCTGCAAGTGTGTTTGTCTGTGCATACATAAGGGTTTGTGTTTTCTGTCAACATGGTCAACCCTCTCCCCCCCCGTTTAATTCCTCAAGCACATCTATATGTTATGTCATTGAGGGAAAGGATCAAATTATTTAGGTCTGCTCTACACTTAATCTCCTTCTTTGCTTGGTAGAAATTATTAGATATCTTTCCTCTCCTTTCCCGTTCCCCTTCTTTTGTGTCGTCCTTTCTCATTTTCTTTTGTCTTTGCCTCTTTTCACCTTCTTTTATGCAATTACTTTTCACCCCTGCACCCCCCAGCTCCACAGCACGCCTCCAGTCAGATTGTTCACTAGCTGCTCTGGTTTTATTCGATTTCAGGACAGGAATTAGGATTGGGAGGCCCATCATAAAGCCTGATGGGCCTGTAAACAGGCAGACAGGATGTTAGAGCCCTTAGAGTGCAGCTCATGCAACCAGATGATTTGCCAGACAACAAAAACACTTCAGTGCCAAACGATAAATAAACAGGAGCGCTGTCATAATCCTCAAACATCTGAATAAAGCAGCTTTAGTTGAAACGATAAATAGGGATTGAAGTGTCTATCAAAGTCCTCTACATGTCAGAAAGGGACATGAAAGATTTATCTTTTAGAGTATTTTTTTTGTTGCCATTTTTGGTGAAATGATGAAGTTCAGGGTTATCAGAGGTTTTGGCTCACATTAACAGGCAGGTTTGGCTTTGAAGTGTAAAAAGAAAGACTGCCATGTTTTATCTATTTACTTAAGAATACATTACATTTGAATCCTGCGAATATCAACACAGACAGCTGACTATCTGCACTGGTGAGTCACCTGAACAACTTTCACAGACACTCTGTTAGAGAGATGGAGACAGGGATGATGTGCAGAGGTGAGCGTGTTTGCCTCTGAAATTTGCATCTGCTTGTTTGTTAACAGGAAACCACAAAGGTTAGCCTGTTTTCAGGTTGCGATGATAGATATGTCAATAGATCTGAATAGATAGGAGAATGTAGGACCTTCTCGCTCTGGGCAGACAGTCAGACCAGGTTTTTTTTTTACTCACCACAGTGTTCACGGTACTTGTTAAGAGATTTCACAGTTAGAGATACAGTTACTGAAACATTTGGTGATTGAATTGAAAAGTGTGCTCTGTGTTTGAGTTATATTGTGTTACCTGCCTCAGCCTATGTGCTGTTTATTTTCTGGGAGCAGGGAAATGCAGGGAACCTTCAACCCACCGCTGCCTCCTGGTGAATAAAGCTCTCAGTCATTTAAGGATTTGTCAGATGCAAACTGTTGTGAAAGCTGAAAGAAAAAGGTGTGTGCCACGGTGCGAACAGCCGTTACAGGCGTGCCACCTCCAGCCAGTTGGATGAGATATGGATCTGGCAAGAGGCTCAGACAAGACATCAGGGACACGGTTAGAAGAAGCTATATGAAGCAGACTGTGCTCTACATCACTCTGTTTGAAAAGACGTAGTGTCAGTATCCAAATCCGTTCAGTGAATGTCTGATTGGAACCAACAAGTAGGTGGGGAACTGTAACTTGTAACTCAGAAATATAAAGACATCTGCTGTTTGATTTTTTGTTTTATAAAATGACTTATCTCTTTTAACATTCTCTTCCACATACGTGCAGATGGCCTCCTAACCTTTTATAATCCCGGGCTGTCTGTGTAGATAAGACAGAGCCTCTGTGAGACTGATGCCTCCTGTCCCCTCCTCACACCGCCGCTCTGCTCTGCCCCTAAACATCCCTGTTCCCCTGCGCCACAGAGATTACCATGTTCAAAAAGAGGATCCCTGTGCTTTCATGTAATTCACCCTCATTGTGACTGTGCATACATCCCCAATCAAAGCCTCGCCCCGGCTACAAAAACCTGTGCACCAAAAGATAAGAGTATCTGATGGCCTGCAGGAGATGGAAGTTTGTAGGATGGCACTCAGCCATAGTGAAACCTGTTGATTCAGATTGCCTCAAACCTACTTGTTTGTTTTTCTCTTGAACGTAGACAACCGTATCTATTTTGAAGGTATGAGATTTATTCGTCTGCTTGTTTCAGTGCCTGGAAACCCTGACAAGCCGACAGATGGACATGCAGTTGTTCATCGCAGACGGCTGTAAGGAGGCTCTGCTGGAGGAGAAGAGGCGCTTTTGTTTCCTCGTGGACAAACACTGCATGCTCACGTACCACTTCGGCTCCTTCCATGAAAAGGTACGGACCACCTCTGACCCGCCGCAATAAGCACCCACACAGCAGATCTTTCCTGCTGTTAATGCCGTCTAGGATTTTCATTTTTTTGCATCTCAAATCATGATCCAGGCCTTTTCATTCCAAAGCGGGCAGTCTCACCAGCTACAATAACTCTTGTTACCATAGTGACAGATATGTGTGCACTGCCTCAAGTGATTACTCATGTTTTCTTTTAATATCTTTTTTCTTTCCTTTTTTGTTTTTCCTTATTTCCACGGCTGCTGATTAGGCCAGAGACATACTGGCAGAAAAGCTGGGCGGCTGGCAGGACCAGTGCAACGATGCCACCAACATTCCCGAGAGTGTTTTGTCTATGATTGAGGGCCTGCGTACGCCCGTTCCCTACACACCGCTGCCTTCCCCCTCCCCATCACGGCACAGCGTGGTATGAGGGGAGGGATTAGGGACGACTGAACACGTTTTCTCACAGTGCAGACCGCATATTGTCTTGAAATGTTGCAGTGTGCTTTCTCTTTTGTTCACACTGTGCTAGAAATCAATATCTCACCAGCACAAGATGGACAGTTAAACATTTTACCTCTTTAAGGGACAATGTTTTCATCAGTGATCGTTGAAATGATTGCAGATAAAAATACTATTTTCTACTGGGTTTTGATCTCGCTTGTCTTTTGAACAAGCCTTACATTTCAGTCCATGTTGTGAGGAATTCTGTTTGATTTGTTTGAAGGTATTAAGGCTTTTACACCCAGATATTTTGCCAAACTGCTAATGTGAGTGATTTTTATGCGGCAGAACATCACTCCACCGGCTCCACCGCTGAAGGCTCAGACCAGTCCATTGGCTAACATGTTCACCCAAGATAACAACGCCACAAATAACGCCACAAATAATTCCACCAATAACGGCCCAGGTAATATGTCGCTGGCTTTTATTAGCACTTACTTTTCTGCTGCCATGGCTTCAAGCTTGTGCCTTTCCACACAAAAGTGTGATTAAATAAATGTTTGTTTTTTTCTAAATAATCATCCGCTTTCCTTGGGTTTGGAGTACACTGTAGAATCACCTCTTTCTGTGCAGTAATATTGCCCTTTGATTGTTACAAATATAAAACCCCTGATGATAGTTTGCTATGAAACTTCTGACATTCGAGATTGGATTAGAGCGATTTAAAACTGCAGAATGTCAGCCATTGTTGTTGCAAAAATGATGTGAACATTAAATTCAATCGCCTGTGTGCAATTTTGCAGATGTCTTCCAGATATTTTTGCGCTAGTATGAAGATTATCCGTCATGTCGGGTTCTTTCCTCTCCGCAGATCATGAAAGCAGTGAGGAGAACAGTCTCGCCAGGTCTGTGTCAGTCGCCACAGGCCTCAACAATATTGTGAAGAGGCCACGTGTGCGCACCGTCTTCCCCCACGCTGCTGGCAGCAACAACACGCTGCTCAGCTTTGACGAGGGAGACATCATCATTCTCCTCATCCCTGACGAGAGAGACGGCTGGATGTACGGTGAAATGGAGAAGAATAGAAAGTGAGTGGAACAACATGTGGACCAGTTTTATTCACGCAGATTAAATTATCGAACGTATGTAAACCAGAGAAGCCTGACACCTAAATATCATCTATATGCACTGCATGCAGACGAAAACCTAATCTAAATTGAAAAAAGTCATGCAGTGAAGAAGTACTCTTGAATTGGTTGACTTTTGAAGCTTTGGAAGCTGAATGAGAGACTTTTTTTCATAGTTCTTTGTGTTGGCCAACCAGAGTATAGGTATTATTAACTTTGTGGTTTTATTGTGCTGTTTGGACAAGAAAAAGATTTGGTTTTAATCTGCACTCCAATTATCACTAACACTACAAGTTTTCTATTAAACCTCATTGTTCAGTAAGTTATAATGGTACTGTTCGAAGTGGTGGTTAATGCTTCTTAACTGAATTAAGAAAGTATGTTTAAGCTTCTATTACTGGGTCTGATCATACGCGGTCACTGTCTGCTGGACTTGAGTGTGAACAAGTAACTGTCTAACCAAAGGAGAAGGTACTCAAGCTTTCACCCAAAAGTCTCAGATGCACTCTTTATGTAAGAGCGAGTATCTAGCATTTGCAAGTCAAAACCATTTTACCCTTCAGCTCACAGGACCACACTTTGCCGCCAGCCTGTTTTTCCTCTTAATGATACCATTGTGTCTTTGTATGTCAGTAAAGTAAGTAAAATCTATCATCTTACAGGTGAAGAAACTCACACATATGACAAACAATGGCAGTCAGTATGTACCTCTTCTACTTTAATATGTTTTTAAATATCCATAAAAATCCTTCAAACTTCAATTTTAAATTTGTATAACTAAGGCTGTAAATCTAAATTTGGTCTCCTGCTTCACTGTGACTGTGTCCTCCAGTTGTACCAAAAACCACACTGCTGCATTAAGTGGCCTGATTCTAAGGCTAACCATGTTCATTACAGACAATAACTCCAGGCATGCCAGTGCTGAGCAGGAACCCTGCCTAATAAATGAGTCAAAATAAGTCTTGGCCTGAGGGCGAAATGTACAAAAGCAGAGCAGATCAAGGCAGTGAAAGACAAAAAAGAAAAACAGAAGAATATCACCTACTCCCCCACACAGAAATGCCCCCAACAGGATCTGTCTCCCAAGCCTGCAATCTTAGACTTTTTAAAATAAGGATTTGATCTGAAGCCTCAGGAAATTTGTGTGTGCAAATTTGAATTTTAATCATTCATCAGGTGGACCATCATTATTATCATCAAGGGAGCTAAACTGGCAAATTCATCCCAGTGAAAATGATCATGTACAAGAACAAGTTTGTGGCAGATCTGCCTTTGAGAACAACTTTAAGAAAAACTTTCGTCTGTTTTTCACTGCTGCTTGTGGTTTGAGATGTAAGTTCCCCCACGGCTGTATTTCTGAAACGTATTTTATCATGTTTATCAGAGCAACATCTCTGAAGAGATTGGCCACATGTCCCAAAGGAAGTTTGGTTTGGTTGCATTTGCGTATATCTTTTAAGGTTTGGCTTTGTTATTATCAGCTTTTGTTAGCTTATCCCAGTAACTGACCTGACAACATCAAAACTACCTCAGATTCTACTACTGATGTGGCAGATACATTTGAATCCAGTGAGTAAAGAAACAGGCTAGTTTTAAGATTACATCTATACACCTGTGCATGTTTATTTGATTCCAGTGTCTGATCAGCAAGCTGGATATATACTTGTCCTTTAGTCTCATAGTGAAAGCTGTTGGGAAATTATGAAAAGATTCCAATACGTTTTCAAGGTCCGGCTGTTCTACTAAACCCACACAAGCTAACAAACGCACTGGAAACCAAAATGTTTTGAGAGTGAAAACTGTTTCCTAAGTCAACTTAAGCAATTATTTATGAATATGACTCACTAAGTGTACTTCCAGTTAGTCTTGACTCAAAAGAAATATCTGTTTGTGTAATGTCAAATGTCAAATATTAATGTGTGTCCACACTGAGGGAGAGGCAGAATCAACACAAATGAATTGGCAACAGTATTGTTCCATGACGGTACAATGACACACAGTCCTTGGTCAGAGGTAGTCACTAGCTTTAACTCAGTTTTTTGTAGTTTGTGAAATTCTGCCTTTTTCTAAATTCAGTACAAATCCCGCTCCCAGTTGTAGTCTGATTGTCCGGCTTTCATCCAAGTACGGCAAACACGTCCTTCAAACAAGACATGAAGGCCAAGACATCTTGTTCCATGTACAAGTCTGTGTTTGCATGCAGACAACATTTGAAATATTCATGAGAGAAAAACAAGGGATGTGTTATATTTCGGGTAATTAGCTCTGGATCTTTTACTCTCCACCCGACTGTTTACCTGCTTGTGACACAAGCCGGCATAAACAAAGATGGTCAACACTACCGAGACAAGAAACAGATTAGAAGAAAGGAACAAGGAAGCTTCCTCCAGCGAGCATGTCGTCCCAACCCTGCAGGCTCTGCATTTTTTAAAATACAGACGTGTTCGTTGAGCTCATCGTGTGACAAGCTTACATTGTTTTACAGCTCACTAGTAAACACTCATTCATTTTTTGGCTTGCGTGTGGATAGGAATAAATGGTCACATGGTATCTCTTTCTGAAAACCTATTTTGAGAACCAGCTCTTCCATTGAAACCTGCACCCAGGGTCATTTGAATTCAAATTCCTTGATGACAAAACCTTGTGTTGAGCAAGTCTTTGATGTTTCTGGCCTGGTAATGGAATAGACTCTTTTAAAAAAAAAAAACAGGGAAAAATTTGAAACTGTCTTTTGCTGACGCATTTAATAGACATGTGTATAATTCCTCTTACAACACTGGGTTAAGAAAGGCATGTGTAGAAGTACGTCTTAATTTATACGCTTTAAAAAAAACAAAAGGTACTGAAAAGAAGATAAAGCAACAGAGTTCCTCATCAGTGATTTTGAATGATTTGGTTAAGCCCAGAGTTGAGAGCTGCGAGGGCCACAGACGTAATCAATCCTAACTGGCTTTCCTTGTTTCTGTGTTTCAGGAGGGGCTGGTTCCCTTCATCTTACTGTCGCGCTGTGACCGAGCCTCTCATGAATAACAGCAGGTAAGGAGACTCCGCATTCCAGCCAGCACACACACCGGCAGGTTTCATGTTGCACCCAGCTGTATTGTTGGCAGTGTTTCCTCTGGTTACTCCTATTGACGTGATAACCTCTCTAATCCTATGGGTACTCTCCTATTGCTCAACTTTTGATTCAGGTTTTCCTAAAGTCACTCTCTGCAACAGATCTTTCAGTCATTTAGCATAACAAAACTTCTGTGGAAATAGTAGAAAGTATCAATTGTAAGATCTTTTAGGGTTTTATTTATTTCCCTCTCTTTTTTTCAAGGGTTCATCGGCCGTGGTAAAACTTTAGTATGTTTATATCATAATTCTATGTAGCCCTTGAGGATTTGAAGGGATTCCAGAATTTGGCTTAGCCAGATATCAGGAGACAGGATGTTATGGGCAGACTTTGCTGCTCATGATGGGGAGGGATGGTTCAAAGAGTTGACTCCAGGCTTTTCTTCAAAGAGACTTATCCCTGTTGACCTAATTTATTAGATTCTAATATGCTGCACTTCCCACAGAATTTGCCATCCAACTATTAGCAGCCACTGAAACAGAAAGTTGAAACTGTAGCCAAAACTGTGGAAACACATCACACACACAGAATGATAAAAATACTCTCTTATTTACTCAAGAAGAATTACCTCATTACGTTAGTTTGAACATTTTCCCCTAAGTGTTTGACACTGACTTTGGATCTAGTTTAAACGTCTTATCATCCCTTAACCCTGAAGGAGGCTGATGATTGCGTTTATTCTCCCCGTTCATGTGTAGTGAGCCTGCTGCTCCGTACCGCAGTCGGAGCGTGGTCAACCTCCACCACCAGGACACGGAGACGGACGAGGCCACCATGGTGCTGCCCCCGGAGGACTACTGTGACTCCCCGCAGCGCAAGTCCATCAGGCACAACGCCTCGTCCTCCAGCGGTGTCGTCACCAATAACAACCACCACTACTCCCCCAAGCCCTCCGCGGGCCTCTCCTCCTCCTCCTCCGATCACCACACGGTGAGTCATGCAGGTGGAGGCTTTCGGCTTTTGGTGTGCATTCATCTAACGCTTTCGCGGTTATCGGCGGGGTTGAAGTCGGCCGTAACACGTTAAGCTTCGTGCAGCTGATGCCAGAGTTTAATAATGATCGTCGAGCATCTGACCTGATGCGTGCGGCAGCAGGACCACAGCTGCCCTCCGCTGTGCCTGCCCCAGCCTTATCACGCCTGCTGATGACAGGACACGGGCGTGTGTGTACAGGGTATCAGATGAGCTTAATATGTCTGCCCCCTGGAAACCCGACCACACCATGATACACTCTCAGTGTCCGCTGACTGAAGAGATAAAGAAATCAGTCATTTTGACTCAAAAAAGGGATTTTTCTGTACAGGTAAATGATGACACTGACACATTCTTGGTATTTGTACCCAGTGCTGTCACTATGCTTAGATTTGTTGTAATTGTTGGGCATGGTCACGTTTTATTTTTAGATTAAGTATTGCCATAGCTGCAGGTGTTATAGCTCTTCATTATTTGTACAGAAATGACTTTCACTCTATTTAATGAAACTGTCACTGTGCCCTGACAGTAAGACACAACCAAAACAATGTAAGAATAAATGTTTTTTTTCTTTTCTGCTTCTCGAATCCAATGCAATTTTCAAGAATCCATTCCCCCTGGCTGAGCCAGAAGGAGTTTTGTATGTTGTCAGTCACTCCTGGCTCTATGGTTTCTATGGTTACGTCCTCGCACATACATGACCACCCACGCTAGGAAGAGCTGAAGCACAGCAGAGAGGGTGGGAGTCAGAACGGCAGGCTGTAATTGAGTTCTATTCAAGTTCCAGCTTTCTGTCTGGGTAGCTGTTTTCTAAACTAAGTTCACTGCATTTTAGTTCACTGGACTAAAATGAACATGTTTCATAGCTTTCTTTGGCCTGGGAACACGTTTTCTGACTGGGCCTGCAGATGCACATTTTGGTCAGCTGGCTAAGACGCCTCCTCTTCATGTAGATGTTATTAGTATACAATTCACCGTTGGTAGGCATGTGGATAATGGTTATGCTTCAGAATGTAGCTGACTGTATCACTGACAGTAGGCTGTCTGACTTCATTTATATGACATGTCATACAGATGTGAGAGGCAAATTGTCCGTAAACAAAAGTTAGGCTGATTTATGATTCCCACCACCTTAGATTAGAACAGACTGAAGCGTTACTTTAAGGACATTAAATGCTTAAAAAAGAATCAAGTTTAAAACTAAAATCTGATTGTTTTTCTTACTTAACTGTGGAGAACAATTATTGCCATTTAGGTGACAGTGCTCCAGAAAGATGCATGAACACTTGTGTAGACATGAGAGCAGCCTCACATTATATAAGCCATAATTCTGGTCAATATTTATGGCTTATTTACACATTTCTTTTCATTTGCATCCTATGCAAAGACACAGGCAAAGGTGTGGTTTGGCCTTCACGAAAGCTTTTTAGTTCTCCTGTGGGCGATGGATGTAAATATATTGCGGTATATCAGGGCCAAACGTACCGGCGCTTATCATTTAAACACATTTAAACACACCTCTGCACACTGATGATACGTGGAGATATATTTCTCTTTTTAGCCCACAGCCTGAGACTTGCACACACTGGACAGCAAGAATGTCACCATGCGTATGTCCACTGTCGGGTCACTTAGTCTACGTCCGGCACACATCTCCATCACTGCCCTGGCATTATGCTGGAATTCCACTCTGGGTTAACCTGATACCTGTCTTCCCTCTTTGCTGCTCACTTTTCACTCTTTCATGCTCTCTTGTTTGTCTAATCACCTGAAAACTTGACTGGGTGTCTTCAGACCTGTCCCACACTCCTTTTGTGGGGGTTTTTCCTACCTAAAAACAGACATCTGATCTGATCCTAGAATAGACATGCACATGGGAAAAAAAACTCTAGCAGTGCAGCATATTAGAATACTGTTATGAGTGGGTTCTTGTTGTGTAAGTTTGCAACATGCCGTGGGAACATTTATGACTATTATTGTCGTTAATGATGAAATGTGTTTTGAGGAAATTAATATGGGTAAATCACTTTTTTTTCTCACTGTTAATCAATAGTTTTCTCTGAGTTTAAATGGAGGGCACAGTTATTTCCATAACGTTCCTCTTGCCAAATCTGATTGGTATCAGCTGTAATGCAGGTTGATCTGGATGTGTGATGAGCGAGCTAGAGGAGGTGGGGTTTCCCTGGAATGCTGCTACCATGAGAAAAAAATGCACCCTCGCTGGTTTGGTGCTTTGTGTAAGGGCTACAGATAGCCATTCTCAGGAAATGATACATTACGAGGAAAGAGAATGTCGAGTGAGACAGAAAGTGATCTGGCACATTCTCTCCCAGGGGTAAAACTAAAGGGGTATCATTCATGATATCAGTTCTGAGCATCTGAGAGAAAGAAACAAAGCCATTAAAACATAATTTGATATCCAAATAACAGTCAGATGTTAAACAGGTGTTCAACCTCGAAGGATCCTTTTAGAAATAACTGTCTCAAAGAAAATCATCCAGAGTAGACATGGAACATTATCAATTTCTGCCCTCTTGAGGACTTTTTGTGGTACTACATATGAGTGGCTCAATACTGAAATTAGAGATTGATTTATTTTGTCAAGATGGGAAATGTAAATTAATTAATTAAACATTTAAGAAAAAAAAACTATATGCACCCAATTGTAGCCAAAATACACATCAAAAGTGATGAAGAAAGGTGAGCCATGTGTGTTGAATTCTTTGACTGACAAACAGGTTTCAGTTTAAAGAGCCACTCCAGTGTCCACAGAACTCCCTTCATCCACCACTGCCCCCAAACTAGGCGCCCAATACTTTATTGAGAGGGGCAACTTCGACTTTGGTAACTTGCAATGTAGTCCTGTGGTGCAATCTGTCATGTGAAACTTCACATGATCAATTTAGACTGTGGACATTTTGCAGGGGAAGTTATGGTTTCTGGCCTTTTTACTTTAAGCTCAGACCTCACAAAAATGGAAAACAGCAAATGTCCTCAATCTATCACTGTCTTTTCTTTTTTAAGTGCCCATAGTTTGATTAGCTGAGTCTAATATGGGGATAACAGGAAGGTGTTTTCATTTTCTTGAACTCCCTTTGACTTGTCATCAGAACAGCTATCACAAATAGAGCGCGTGTGGTTACAGTGTCTGCCGGTCAGACGATCCGGTCTCACGTGGTTGGATTTAGTTGTCGTTCTCATTTAGTAATTAGATATACACATGATATGAACCGTGATTCACATGACCATTTCAAGGTGCCAATGCAGTCATTTGCAACTCAAACTTTGAACAAGGACGATGAGATTTGCTCAGAAAGTATGAATACATACAGCATGTTATTTTTTTTTACTCAGATAGATGAAAGTTGCTTTCTGTAAAGCATGGTGAGGCACTCACTGAAACACTTTGTGGGTTTGACTGTGAGGCATGTGGAAATATCCTGAAACTGCAGGTTTTACGTCATGGGGCAAATGTTTTTCTTTTTTTTTTCTGCGCTTTGGCCTAATTCATTTATACAGCGGCAATTATTTGAATAACCTATAAATATACTTTATGTGAAACACCAAAATGAAATATATGGCAGTGAATCAGTTTGTTTTTCATCACAGGGGGTCCAGTCCAACGGCACCTCCAGACCTCCCCCTGCTTACTTGGCGTAAGTCACAGCAGTGCATCAGCGTCTGCGTTTGTCTCCCTCTCACATGCGTCTCACACTGGCCTCTGCTTTATGTTCACAGCGGAGGGAACCCGTTTGCAACAGTCAGGCTACGTCCAACTGTCACTAATGACCGCTCCGCGCCGGTCATCTGATCCATCCACATTGGCACCCGTCACCACTTCCTGCTAAGCGTCAGATGAAGCAGCTGGGCCTCAGCTCCGTCTGTCCGGCAGCGCCTCCTGACCCCGCGCTGAGGAGAGCCACGCCATCTGAGTCTGGAGTTTCCCCACTGCTTGATTCTGATGCATTTAGGGACCGTTTTATTAACCGAGAAGATGCTCGTATTTATATTTTCTATATCGGTTTTAGGTTGTCCGTGGCGATGCTTACATTGACACATTTTTAACTGCACTTGAGATAAGGATGAATAAAGTGGTCATATGCTGTCATGTATTTATGTTGTTCAAGTTGCTTGTTACTTTTCTGTTGCCAGAAGTGTGCACCTTTTACGAGCTTTAGGTTCATTTTACTGCTCACCGTCCATAAGCAATGTGGTCAACCGTTGAAATCCTGTCTGCACAATTGTACATCAGCTCTACATTTCCCCTCCGCCAGCTATGCTGAATTATTTTCTTTTTTTATAGATTTTAGACACTTGTGCCTTAATGACACAAACACACAGACTGTAAATACATAACTATTCTTCACTTTGAGTACGCACGGCAAGCCCGTGTGTAGACCTTGTCCTCAGCCCTCATTACACCCAGAGTAGAATTCAATGTACGAAAAATAAAGATTTTATTTCAACAGTTTGCCTTTTAGTTTTCATGTTGATTTAATTTTCAAAAAGTCTAATTTGTTTGAAAAGTCGCTGGCTGAACTTTCATCTAAGAAAGAAAAAGATCAAAAGCATAAGTAGCATTAATTTTTAATTACAGTAACTCATATAAAAAGTAAGAACCTCAATCATAACAGCGTGCGTAGTGTGTTTACTAAAGCAAGATTTTTGTACTCTTTACATTTCTTTTTAAATCCATCCCGATCCCGTGAACAGATTCAGAACATCCTGCTGTGGTGGAAGACGTAGAAACAGACTGTAGACACATGGACAAAACTCTCAATTGATTGTCTGGCTGGGAGGAATGGGGCAGGTTGACTTGTCACAGAGTAAAGTACTGAGAGAAAAATCCAGATATTATGCACATTGTCCAAAGATTTTTACTTTTACTCGGCATGCTTTCTTGATGTGAAGTTCTGCTTTGACTGAAGAGTGCTCTCAAAGCTGAGTCCAGAGTCAAGCAGCGAGGTTGGAACGTCGAGGGCATGTCAGATTGTATGTACCTGAGGTCTGCATTGGCCCTGGCAAAGCACAACCCAGCAGAATAATCATCAAACACACTATCAGTGCAAATATGGCCCCAAGAAATAACATCGACAAAAAAACAGGCAAAATGCTTTTGTCAGACAGAGTCCACTGCTTCAGCTGGAACAGTACACGCCCTAAGATCACTACGTGTTATGTGGAACAGCCAAAAAGGGCTAAAGGAGCAAAAACATCTGAAAGAAATGATTTGCACTTCCTTAAAAACAAAGGGGAAAAAAGAATCATCCTTTACCTCCAAGCACAGCGTTACATAACACGATGTTAACTAACAGGTGTGCCAGTAAATAGATAAAAGGCAAAAAATGTAAGCATGCTGGTTAATTCCAGCTCAGAAAAAAAAAGCATAAAGGAATCTGCTCAGACCCTCGGACGACTGAGCTAAATCTGCGGAATCCCATCGTCACTCAGCATGTGGTGAAGGCACTGACGACAGCCGGACACCGAGGTGTGCTCGAGCATATTCTCTACCTGCAGATGAAAATAGGCTCTAATCTGTAGATCGCTTCATATATGGAAAAGGTGGGATTACGTAGGTGAGGCTCTGTATGTGGGGGGGTACAAGCGAAGGCAGGAACTGTGGTTTGGTCCCTCTAGCCGAAGGTGGCGCCACAGTTGGGACACCGTCTCTGACGCAGAGCGAAGCAGAACAGAATGCCCAGCGGGAAGAAAAAGATGGCACACAGGATCCCCAGACAGGTGAAGTCATCCTCTAGGACACCCACCCTGTGGCACACATGGGCAAAGACATAGATAGATAAAGGAACACCGCTATGGAGGGAGCAACATGTTCCCGCTCATTTAAATCATTTTTATTATCAGGTGGTACAACATAAGTCACATAAAAGAGAAGGGTCTGTGCACGGTGCAACTTTTTTCTATACATAACGCAGCCATCAAATTCAAAGCAAGCAGACATCCTTCCTGAGATGGAAAAATATCTGACCTTCAGAAATATGCTGCATTAAAAACGTCCCACTGTGAGGCAAACAGTAACAGCAACAGTAATGCAAATGTATGTGTTTGTTTTCATTCACATGGGTTGTAGTTTCATGTAGTTTCATATTTTCATGGTTTCATGGTCCTGTATAGGCTGGGGCCTATACAGGACATCATTGAGAGGCAGAACATACCCTGGGTAACAAATGTATCAACATGGAAATGTATCAACAACACAGATAAGAGTGGCTTTTAAAATCGTACATGAGTGTCATTAGCTAGCAGTCAGTCACAAGACGGCGTCCTATCTGATGATGTCAGAGCGGCTTCACGCTGTTAATGAGACATTTCAGTACGTCTTATCAGTGGCTGCTCTCCACTTATCTGCCATCTGCACCATACCTTGACCTTTCATGTTAAACTAGAACTGAGATACTTTTTAACCAAAGTCTGACCTCATTCTGAATGAAACGGAGAGTAAAAAGTTCAAATCAAACAAAATCACTGAATAATTTAGAAGGATGAAAAGATACTTGTTGCTGGAGTTTTTCTATCTCTCCTCACTTTACTGTAATTTAAACAGCAGTGTTTCAAACTTGTGACTTGTCAACGATGTCATGAATGCATCTCTGATCTACTTTGTCTTTGGTATTTGGCTCCTAATAGGTCCTGTTTTTATTTTTAAAGAAATCATTTAATTCCCCACAAACATGTGACCAATTGCTGCGGAACAAATAACCAAGTAATCGTCAGGACAGGACAGGAAGCAGCTATTTTTTAATGCTAATGGCAGCTTTAATCCAGAGTGACAGTAAACAGAGGGCTCGCTGCCGTCTCATGACTGCCCCACGCCAACCAGCCCGGCCACAAAACCTGCTGGAGGCCTCAGGGGGACTTAAAGGAATATGGGGATCAGATGATATAGCATATGAAAAGCTACTGTGGAATGCCTTACTCAAAGAGCTACAGCTTTGATGCACTGAGTTAAAACGTATTAATATTATTCCAGCTCTCATGCTGCGTGTGACTGTGCTGTGTCAAACTAAAAGTTAGCCTTCGCTAACATTTAAACCCGTGCCAGACCTGTGACGGACTGAGGCAGCACAAAGCAACATTTTGAAAGCAGATGTGCCAGCATTTTCACACCCTCATCAATGTTTTACTGTCTGCCGGCATTCAAAATATACAAGGCTGTCGGCCCGTTATCTCTGTATCAGATAGCGTGGGTTTCTAATGTACTTTTGTAAACAGAAAGCTGACGCAAAGCACTTGTTTGGGAAAGTAAATTCAAAGAAATTCAGCAGGCGAGTGGGAAAAATTAATCAACAGATTTTCCCATGTCCACGCTTAAAAAGGGCAAATTGAGCTAGTTCTCATTGTGCATTTCTTTTTTTTTCTAAATGAAGGCCTGCAACAGTTTTAGCGAGTTGCGTTTGACAGCATATGATCAAAGCCTTCACCATCAGTTCAACAGCCAGATAATCAGCGCGCTTTTCCAGGGAACTGGAGGGCATTTCATTCCCATGGGATGTGTACGTGAGCCGTGTCCCTGCGGTCACCTTTGGCCCCGTCACATGACTGAGGCTGAACTCAGCTGACTGATGGGATGTTGACTCACCACAGTGAAACAAATAGGGAAACTCTCAGAAAACTGAAAGTCATGCTGGCTCTTCTTATCTTTCCCAATAGTGTGAGTTCAGGGGCAGTGAAATAAAAACAGAAGAAACTGAGAAATACGCACTCAAAGGCAGGCGCTTTGTGACAGTGAGTGCAGGGAGATGGTGAGGCCTGTGTGTTTGTGTGTGAACAGCATCAACCGTGTCCTCACCTGCAAGCAGGACAGCCTCCCACCACCACTACCGAGGGCTGGATGATGGTGTAGCTCCCAGTGTAAGGCTGCTGGGAAACAGCGGGGGCCATCTGGGCCGACGGGTAACCTACAGGATGGACCAGAGAGATACAATGGCGTTAGTGTGAGCCTGAGAAGCCGTGCGCAACCACAACTCAAACCAACGCAGTCCCTCATTTGGGACCCTTGTTTTTGACGCAAACACGACTCTTTCGAGTCTCATCGCAATGAGTTTGCAGTCCGCCGTCCAAATGATTCAGGTCTACAGCTGCAAGCATGAATTATCCCTTTCAATCCCACAGCTCAGGGCCTGTAAAAGGAACATCTGATAATAAAGTTTCTATAAATAGGAGATGGCAGGAGAGAGTCAAAGAATAGGCTGTGACGAGTTATGACAGGCTGGAGAAACACTGGCTCCTTTCAGTGACATATACAGGACACATCAGCTGTTGAATTTGCTGTTTTTTGTTTTGTTTTGTTGTTGTTGCTGGAGCCAGATGCTGGTAATTAATTCAGAGCATCTGAAATTGAGCAAAAACGCCTGCACCTACACCTGCTCTGTGGTTTGGAGCCTCTGCAGGCTGAGGTGAGCAGAAACCAGCGGCTTCTCAGCCAACAGGAAACCTGGCGGTTGTCATCTGAAGGCTGCGGGACTTCCTGTGTCAGAGGTGTGTGTGCCTGTACAATCACAGTCAGGTGACAGCCGCCTGCTTCCCATAAAGCACACTGACGGCTCTCTGTTGGAAAGTTCACCTCCACCAGGGAGCAACAACAACAACAGCAACAGCCCCCGCGGGGGTAAAGGCTGCCCAGGTGGGAGAAGCTCTCTGAACCTCGCCCCGCCATATTTTTCCTTTGTAAAGACAACAATAAAACCTAAAATCACTATACGTGTGGAACTAGGTCGAAATTAATAAAACGAACTAGTGTGAGGCAGTATAACTTTAGGCTTAGGCGAAGGTTTCGGTTTGTCTGTGGGTGGAATCCACTTTTGGGACGGTTTCCTGCCCCTGAACTTGGCGGTGAGCGTGTTCGGAATGGAGCTACTCGCCTTGGGCATCGGGGTACTGGTAGGGCGGGGGGGCGGCCGGAGGGATGGCCCCGTAGCCGTGCTGTGGCTGCGGCGGCCCGTACTCATACGCCCCCGGGACGGCGTTGTACGCGGGAGGTCTGTCCTGAAGAAGGGGCTTGCTGTCCACCATCTCGCTCGAGGTACAAAAATGTTTTTTTAAAAATGTCCTCAACTTGTTCTCGTTCTTCGACCGCAAAGTCTTCAGAAGCAGCGAGGGGTCAAGACTTAACTTCGGGCTACTTGGCCTTTCGTAGCCCCGGGAGCTGTGCGGTGCTGGTTGACACGCAGTGGCGACAAAAACAAAGAAAACACGCAGCCCAAAAATGAAACTTCGTCCCTCTCCATGCGCCAACTTTGTCCCAGGCGACGCAGCAACGCCAGAAATTCACCAAATGTCCACTCCGAAAACAGGAATGACGGGAACGGGTCCGGTAATGGCTAACTCAACTCCATTTCTCCTTCTTGAAGTTGGTCCTTTGGCAGCTAAACAACACTCCAGTGTGGCCGCAGCGGCTCGGGACTCAGCTGGAAGTCAGAAAGGCTTTTTTTTCTCCCCTTTCTGTCTGGATTGTCACAAGAGAAGAATCATGTGACGAGCTGCTGTAGCGCCTCTGCGCAGCGAGAGGCTTCTTAAAGAGACAGCGCACATAAACAAAAGGCGGCAGTCCAACTGCTGCATGCAGTGTGCTGCGGGGCAGCCGCCTCGCCTCGGAGGACAATTCCCACAGCCAAATCGTTTGAAAATGAATTCT